GGAGTGTTATACTTGGCGACCAAGAAGAATTACGTCGGTTTCAATAGCGGAGCGAGGCATTTGAGGAGTTTGGTCGACGAGGAAGGCGTTTTTGGAGCTCACTTGGTGAAGGAGATGACTGACAGAGACATTTGGAAGTTCTTTCTCAAGTGAAACAATGGCTAAGCTTGTTCATGCAATAATATTTATCACAATTTCTTTTTACTTTGCTTCTTTCATTGTAAAATCTGTATTTTTCTTTACTTTCTTGTCAATTTTGCCAGCTTTTACTGTAAAGTACCCTCTCACTTAATCAAAGCTTGAATGTTCTTATTCGTTCTCTTTCTTTCTTGTTTTTACGACCTAATTGATTCGGGTCTCCTTCTAGCCTTCTTAGTTCTCTTTCTTTCTTGTTTTTACGACCTAATTGATTCGGGTCTCCTTCTAGCCTTCTTAGCTTCGCTACCCCACCTCTGTGGTTTGTCAAGACAAATTCTTCGGTAAAGCAAACCAACCGTACATCTAAACCTGATTCTAGTGTATTTAAATTTATTATTATTTTTTTTTTCAATTATAATAATAGTTTTGAAAGAGTTAATTTTTACATTTTTTTAATTTTTTTAACACTAAATTTTTTTATTAAGAAGGTAAAAACGGTGTGAAAAAAATATATTTTTTATTTTCAATTTGTGTTTTCTAATTTTTTTTATTAATATTTTAGAGATATTATGACCATTTAAGAAATATATATAAATATAAAACAAAATAAATGTTTGGTAATAATCAAAATAAATCTTTGCAATGAACAAAATAAATCTTTGTTAATGACAAACGGAACAAAAAAAATCAAATTCAAATCTATTGTTCAGTAGTTTACGTTTTGGTTATGCACAAATTCTGGCTGCGATGGCAGCGGTAGCTGTTCAACATTGGGCACGTAATTATTGAATTGCTCATATGGTTGGGTCGGATCTGGATCCATGCGCAACGGGGAATAGTTTGTCAACGATGGCAGTGGCGGTGTCGGTGGTGGTCGTGGTCGTGGTCGTGGTCGTGATCGTGTTCGTGTTTCTGGTTGTGATTCTAAACGAGCATACACCTCCGACAATAATTCGGGATCGACCGTATCGATATCATGAATACTCTTTCTTTTTCGTTGTTCTTTCGGTATTTGTTGCCGAGTGAAAAACTTTTGAGCGTGACTAGCTACTTGCGTGTGAGTTTTTGTAAGCACGACTTTATTTGCGATGCTTTTCCAATTACCCGAGCCAAATATCGCCATTCCTACCAGAAATAACCTGCACCAAAAAAAAAAAAAAAAAAAAAATTACACAATTGTTTCATTTTTGAAGCACAATTATTACACAAATTACACAGTTAGTTATTTTAGTTGTTTTACTTGTGCTCGTCAACTGTCCAAATTATCCTCATTCTTGATGATTGGCCGACTCTGCCATTGTTTGCCGCTACCCGATGCATCTGATTATTGGAGCAAAAATTAACGACATCTGAAAGAAAACCAGAATTCTCCATTGGAGTCGGAGTCGGAGTCGGAGTCGGAGCCGGAGCCGGAGCCGGAGCCAAAGGAGATAAGTTATTGTAAGTGGAAGGAGCACAAAACAGCATCGTTTCATAGCTATAATTAGGGCAATAAAACGCCGGAGCCGGAGCTGGAGCTGGAGGAGATAAGTTATTGTAAGTGGAAGGAGCACAAAACGACATCGTTTCATAGCTATAATTAGGGCAATAAAACGTCGGAGTTGGAGCCGGAGCCGAAGGAGATAAGTTATTGTAAGTGGAAGGAGCACAAAACGGCATCGTTTCATTAGGACAATAAAACTCTGCCTCATAGCCGCCGTTGATAGAAGTCTCGAACGGAGACAAATCTTCGTTATATAGATTCAGATAAGCGTTATGATAAATCTCCGCCTCACTCATAGATGGATCGGCGAGCCTAAAGTCATTCTCGAATCTCATCGATTGATTTTCCGGTAGCGTCGTCATTGTCGTCGGCGACTGCTGAAGCACCACATTACTAATCGGTATCGCCATTGTCGAATTCTGATCGGGATATGGAATACTCGACAAAAGAGAAAAAATAAATGAGAAGGTGATTTCGAGTTAGTTTAGAAGGAAGAAGTCTCCTATTTATAATTTTCCATTAGAATAACTGTAAAAATAATAATTTTTTAAAATAAAAAATTATCCGATTTTTTATTTATTGGTTCCATTACCATTACCATATAATTTTGTACACTATCTTGTATAAGGCCAGCACCGGCAAAGTCCACATTTAGAGTATATATATATATATATTTTTTATAAAAGATCATTTATTCATAAAATTGATTTTAAAAAATATTTATTTTAAAAATTAAATATTTTTTGGGGAGAATATTTATTTTATGAAATTGAGCCAAGTTTTATTGAAATTTTATTAAATTAATCTGATAAAATTATTCAAATTTTATTAAAATCATAATAGATAATTTAAAATTAGTAAAGGTTTATGAATGTAACTATTATTAAGTTAATATAGGTTTATGTTATAATTTTGGTGGGATTAATTTTTGTAACCTTATATAATATTATATATATTTTAATTAAAAAAAATGAGTTTATAACCTAAATTAGTATATTTATAAAAAAAAAATTAAAATTAATTTTGCATTTCAAAATTTCCACTAAAAAATGATATTTTAGTAATCACACCCATTATATTTTTGTTTAGGGGTTAGGGCCTTCACTCGTCTACACTTCTCTCTAGATTCGGTCTTACCAGGTTAGTAATACATACGATAACTCTGTAATTTTGGTTTCTGATTTTGATTGATATCACTAATACGAGAACTCTGTAATTTTGGTTTCTGATTTGATTGATACCATTTGAGGGTGTTTTTAAGCTTTGAAATCGGTTGCAATGTTCGTTTTAATTGCATGATTTTATCTGTGATATTGGCGCCCTGTAATTAAAGCATCTCTATTTCGGTCTTTTCCTAAAACAGTGACTACTTATGATATAGAACTGATTTAGAAAATGTGAGTTCAAAAGGGTGAATTCTATAAGAAAATTGATGCTAAGGAAGATCGAAATTTCTGATGAAATTTGGCCCGGGTTTCAATTGGGAAATCCAAACATAGTTTTCCTACTCCTTTTTATATCACACATTTGCTTTTGAAGGTTAAGGTTAAGGATTGGATCACAGTTGCTAATTCTTTGACTTGTTTTCAAACAGGAACTTTAGAACTCCTTTTCCCAGAAGAACTCTCGTCTCACCAAGATGGGTATGTTAGATACAGATTTTCATTTTGTTTTATTTGTGACTTTTTCTTCTTTTTCGTTAATCTTGGAGAACTTTGTGTATAGGTATTTCTCGTGATTCTATGCACGAGAGGCGTGCCATTGGAGGAAAGAAGAAGGCTTGGAGTAACTATCTCTCTGCTCATATTAAGACGACTGCAATTTTATTCCTTGTTTTGCTTCCATTTTCCCAAATTAGTTGCTAGCAGATTTATCATATTATTGAGGATGGTTGGGAGGAAGTCCCACTAATTTAGGGAATGATCATGAGTAATTCGATGGGTTTATAAGTAAGGAATACATCTCTATTGGTACGAGGCTTCTTTGGAAACTAAAAAAAATCATGAGAGCTTCACTTTTCTCTCAAATCAAGATGCAACATTAGTTTTCTGTGTGTTTTTAAATCCATACTGATATTGTTTCTTTCGGCACCTTTGTTTGTAAAGGTATGAGCTCGGAAGGCAACCTGCCAACACTAAGTTGTCCAGTGACAAGTCGATTTGAAGGATCAGAGTTCGTGGTGGTAATGTGAAGTTGCGTGGAGCTCGATACTGGAAACTACTCTTGGGGTAGTGAGGCTGTGACGAGAAAGACCCGTATTCTCGATGTGGTGTACAACGCATCTAACAACGAGCTTGTTCGTACTCAAACCTTGGTGAAATTGTTCAGGTTGATGCAGCACCATTCAAACAGTGGTACCTTCAGCATCTAACAACGACCTCAGCAGCTGCTAAGAAGGCCAAGGTAGAACCAACTTCGGTAGTTCGAGTGATTTGAGCACCTGTTTTTTATGGGAATGATATACATGATCCTTAAACACAACTTGTTTTGTATGATCGGTAGGAAGGTGATGCTCCGAGCGAGGAGGCGACGAAGAGCAACCATGTCCAGCGAAAGCTAGAGAAACGTCAGTAGGATCGTAAGCTTGAGCCTCATATTGAAGAACAATTCAGCGGTGGTTGTTTGATGGCCTGTATCTCATCAAGACCGGGTCAATGCGGTCGAGGCGATGGGTAAGCAGTTGAAATGCCTTGTGATCTTGCTTGTCTTTGATGTATTCTTGTCGCAACATGTTTGAGCGCGATCATTGAAGCGTTTTTGGTGAGTCTTGCTGAGTTTTAGCCTATTTGTGACAGATACGTCTTGGATTGAAGAGGGCAAAGAGCTCGAGTTCCACATGAAGAAACTTCAAAGGAAGAAGGGAAAAGGAGCTGGTGCTGCTTAAGTCAGTGTATCATTGAGATGTTTTCTCCCATTTCAGTAGCCATTTCTTCGTTTGAAGACGATTAGATGTTGCAGCAAAGATGAAAGAGTAGCTCAGGAGCTTTAACTGATATTAGTTTGTTCAATATTGGAACAGCTCAGATCCATCGCTAGCAGATTTGTAAATGGTGGTTTGTTCTCAACCAACCAAAATGTGAACGTCACAAATATAAACTTTAAACTTTTTGCTCAATTTTAATCTTAGTTTAAGGTCAATTAGATCACAGATAAAATTACCCTTTTGCCCTTGAATCTAGTTTTAATTATAATGTTTATAGGTAATTTGAAACTTTATTTAATTATTTTTTAGGTTAAATTAGAAGCCATAGCCATAGATAATATTGAGACATAATTAAACATTTGGAAAGTTATTAAATATAAAATTGTGAAGTGTTAATTGTAAGTGTATTTAACAAAATAATAATTCCCTAAAAGTGAAAGGGTACTTTTGTAGTTTACAAGAGATTCGGGGGGTTTTCGGCAAAAGTGCCTATAGCCTCTCTCTCCTCTCTTTTGCGATGTTCCGTCTTTGTATAAGGGGCTAGGGTTTTTCTCTCTTCCTCTCTCCCTCTCTCCCTCATTTGGATCGTCTCTCTTGCTCGATTCTTAACTTGGCAGGTTCCTGATCACTTCGGTATGTAACTTTCTATGCTCTGATAATCTTTTCATTTCTCCGGCTGAATCGTTATCTGTATATGAGGACTGCTTTTTTTTTTTTTTTTTTTTTTTT